AAAATTATTTAAAAAACTTAGTGGAATCAAACTTTATATATATAATTAATAAGTCCCAATATTTTTTCTTTCATTTAAAAAAAATTAGATTATTATCTAATGAAAATGATATTTGCCATTTCTGTTCAAATGAAAATAACTCAATCACATAATAAGCATTGATAAGTATAACTTTTGGCTACTAAAAGGTCTACAACTCAACAACGAGGAAAACCTAAAATCGTTAAAATTGAACTTGATCTTCATTTAGCCACAGGAAACAACATATCAAAATTTGAAAAAATTTCATCAAAGCGTTTTCATATTAATGAACAAACGCCCCCCGTACATCCCCAAATCAATAACCGATTTTTTCCTTAGAAAATCCAGTTAATAAAAATATAAATAGCAATCAAGTAGTTTCTTATTTTATTTTCACAAAAAAAGATAACTAAACACACAAAAAATCACATCGAGTATATTTGTGTTTTCCCTATTTCATTGAAAATCGCGTAAAAAAATTCCCAAAACTGGTCTGGGTCCTTTTTCCCAAAATACACAGAAAAACCCCAGGTAAAGTTAAGGTGGACACAGAGCTTAATGAATGGCATCAGCACAAACAAATTAGTACCCTGAGTGAAGTAGCCAATTTTTCGCCCATTATGGTCTATGTGTCTAACAAAAAAAAAGCACCTTACCTACCTACCAAAACATTTTCAAAAAAAAAAAAAAAAAAAAACACGTACCTACCTACCCACCAGCAAAAATCTGGGTAGGGGTGTGGGGAAACAAAGATTCTTTTAATTGTGGCCCTATTGCTAAGAGTATCTGAGAAACAACCATACCACCAAAACTTAATCTTGATCACTTATCCATGAAATAAGGTCAATGTCAGGTGTGTAGACCTTGCAATGATACTATATATATACCAAATATAGTTGTCCTAGCACTCATCATAAGTGAGAAATCATGTAATTAAATAAACTGTTATCAGTCAAGGGTGTAACTTGAATAAGCTATTAGAGAAAAATAACATACATGTGTTATTACGGATACTTTCTCTTAATCTGTAGTAACATATGTTTGTTATCAGTTAAATGTACCATAAAAATTTTTATTTTCAGTAGGCACTTGTAAATTCTTGAAACTTGCGCAGTAACTTAATACATAACCTTGAAAACTAATTTTCCAATTCAATTAATACATTTTTGATCAACCATGGTAAATCAATGAGACAAGGCTTTTAAGTGATAACTTAGCTGTAATAACAAGGCTTAGTTATTACAGGCATTTAACTTATTACATGAGACACTTGGGAAAGACTAGGAAGCTTGCGCAGAACCTCATTACATGCTCTTATTGTTATTTATTACAATAAATTAAAATACATTGTAATATATGTAGGAGAAAAGGCTTTGAAGAGATGTAGAGAAGCTGTAATAACACCCTTTAGTTATTACAGGCATATTTTTTCTGTAATAACATGGGTGTGTTATGCATGATTGGCAAACTATGGGCTGTTATATCTTTCTACAGTTTAATATACATAAAGACAATTATAATATCAATAGAACTAGTACACAATTTAATAAAATAAAGGATGTATAATGCCCCTTTGAAACATGTAACACACATATGTTATCAGAGATTTTTGATTTTTTAGCCCTCAATAACAAATGTATGTTATTTTTCTCTAATAACTTATTTAAGTTAGACCCTTGACTGGTTATCACAGAGATATGTCACGCCTTTTTGTAATTTTGATAATGCAAATGTTGAAATTAAAATAGGAATACTTTAACCCATAAGTTATGCAAATATTCAAAGTCGATGAACCATGACTAAAGGTACATGGCTAAACAATCTCCATGAAAATGAGATGTGCCAATGCTAATACAACTGCATACCAAATACCATTGACTTATTATAAGTCGTTCCCTTTAAACAAACCTAAAGACAAATATTAACTTGTAAACTATGTTAAAGCTTCAAAGTCAATGAACCATGATGAGGGGTTGGGGCTATATAATCTCCATGGAAACAATACTTGCAAATGACAATAAATTTGCAAACCAAATATCATTGACTTCACATTAGCAGTTCATCTTAATTAAACTGATCTAATCACAAACTAATACAAGTAAACTAAGCAAAAGTTTCAAAGTCAATAGACCATCACTGAGGGGGCAGGGACAAGTAATCTCCATGGAAATGAGATGTGCTAATGTTTATACAACTGCATACCAAATACCATTGACCTAACACTAGTGGTTCCCCATAAACTGACCTAATCACAAACTAATACATGTAAACTTAGCAAAAGTTTCAAAGTCAATAGACCATGACTGAGGGGGCAGGGCCAAATAATCTCCATGGAAATGAGATGTGCCTATGTGTATACAACTGCATACCAAATATCATTGACCTACCACTAATGGTACCCCATAAACTGACCTAATCACAAACTAATACATGTAAACTAAGCAAAAGTTTCAAAGTCAATAGACCATGACTAAGGGGGCAGGGCCAAATAATCTCCATGGAAATGAGATGTGCCTATGCTTATACAATTGCATACCAAATATCATTGACCTACTACTTGTGGGTCAGCATAAACTAGACCTAATCACAAACTAATACATTGTTGAAGCCGCGGACGCCCGGAACAGCATACATATGTCTTGCTTTTTGACTCCGTCAAGGAGAGACAAAAAGCAATAGATTTGTGAAGAGGTCAATGAACTAAGAGAATGAGGTCAAGAACAAGACATATGCCAGAATGAAACTTCAACACATAAGGCATCTGTAAACAGGATATAAGGTATCCAGGTCTTCTGAAATATATAGTTTTATGCAAATTGTTTTTGCCATCTATAGCTGCTGCAAGGATAAGGGTCTCTATGTTTTGGTTTTTTGCAACATTCATAGCAGACAGACAATTAAATCATAAGGACACTGCATCTTTTACTGCATTAAGAGTGATTTCATGCTACCAACAGAAACCTAAACAAGGTCTTTTTCTGTTATAATGGAACACTTTCTTTAAATTTAACTGAAAGAAAAGATTACTCCTTAATTTCTACTGAAATAAAAGAACTTTTGAAAAAAATATTAAGTGAGATAAAAAAGAACAACTAATAAACTAATTTTTGATATTAAACTATTTATAAAAATTTTTTGATATTTTTATAAACTCAAGATGCTTATGCTTTCAATGCATGCTTTCATTTCCAGGCCATGAGCAGTTGTATTTTTGATGAAACTGCTATTAATACTCACCCTTATATGGAATATCTGAAAAGATAACTAGCTAACTGAGCTAGTTTCTATAATTCAATCCTATTTTTTTCAATTTTCAGAGTGCATCAGATGCAATAGAAATAAATAAAAATTAGAATTTCAGGTAGGTCATGCATGCACTTTGATACAAACCACAATGTTGTTGTTGTTGAATATAGCTGATGAAAGCTATCCAATATGACATAGAACATCAACACAATAACATAAATAGGGAAAAATCAAGCTCTCAATTCAAGATTTTCTTCAGAAACTATACTTGAATTACAAATAAAATCTATTTTTTCTCATTATTTTATATAATTAGTCTGGATTTATTTTCTGTCAATTTGATCTATGTTCATATTGAACCCCTGCAAGTGAAGACTTTATTTTAATGGTATATCATATTTCAACATACAAAAATAACCAAACCCTTAACTTTTGAAAATGTACTCCTTTTCAAGCTAATGATTAAAATCACACGAAAAATGCATCTTTTCCCGATATGTCGCAGTTTGATGATGCAAAAAATAACATTTTACTTTAGCAACGTCATTATCTCCCCTGTAACTGTATTGTATGCCCTTAAGTGTGTTTGCTATACATGTTTAAAAATATCCTATTTATTACAAAATGTCTGCTGATAACAGACCATGCAGGGTTCGACATTAACTTTTATACCAACTTGTCCAGTTGGGCAAGTGCCCTATTACTTTTACTTGTCCGAAAGTGAAATCTACATGCCCAAACTTTTACATGCTATTTTTGTGGTTGTAATGTAGTACATGCAGATAAAATATAGTTATCATGTATATGGGGTGTAAATTGATTATGGAGTATGAAAATATACTATTGGATCATTTACATAGAGATACTTATTTCATAATAATTTATCTAAGAAATGCCATTTCAAAAAACCCTTCTTGATAAACTGACAAAAACTGACAAATTTGTTAAAGTTTAATTTCATTTTCTCTTTCAAGCTTTTACGTTTTTCCATCTTAGGGAAATACACATCCGATGTCAAATTATAAAGTTAGAACAACGAAAATAGACCTCCGCTTTCCATTGGTCGGTGGGAATAACACATGCGTCGGAAACGCCCGAGTGGTGTCCCGATGGATAACGATAATGACGAAGCAACGCCGCGGCCGCCTGATTGGCCAATATTTTTAAACGTGATCTATTTTTGGTAAAATGGGGAATTCAGTGCGAACAATTGACGAAATATACGCATTGAAGGGGGGTTAAGACCACTTTACTCGACCGTGCGGTGTTATCACTGAGTAATCTATGGACAAAACAACAGACACTATTGATTTTGTGAAATTTTAATCATATAACACTTTTTTTTTCACTTGCCTGATCGGACAACCAAGATGATGTTTTTACTTGTCCGAATACGGCATTAGCTTGCCCCGGGCAATCGGACAACCGTAAGTGTCGGACCCTGCCATATATTTGTATTTGAGACCTTTATGACATTGTATTGTATTAACAAAGTAAAATGTCATACAGTTATTAATTACAATGTATGTTGTAAATCTAATAACAAGTATGCTACTGTGTGAAACAAATAATTAGTTTATTGTTTTGAATAAAGAAATATAAACACTGGACACAACACATTAAGACAGTTTTCAATGCAAAATGTTCAAGCACATATATTTATATCTATTAACTATGCCTACTTCAATTCACAAAACATAAGACTTTTGTTTAAAGTGTAAACTATTACTTACCTTGACCTGTGGCACCTTCAGTCATAGGATTAATTTCTATCAATGTTGCATCATACTTTAGGAAGATGTCATAGTACATTTTCATCATAATATCAGCTGCCTTATAAAATAAAAAACATTTTTATAGGACGGAGAGATAATACATTATATTTTGTACACGGCCATTATCAACATGATCAAATTGATGTAGCACAACTTTAAAAAAAACCAACATAATTATAACAAATGAAATCCGAGTCTGTATATGAGGTTAAAATAGTATATGTTTATTAGATGGTAAACTAGAGGCTCAAACCAACTGCCTTTGCTCTACCTTTGTGCAATATTTACAAATATTTCATATGGTGTATATATATATATATATATATAATAAGCAAGTCTAAATGGGTACATCACCAAACAAGAATGGTAAAAGTGTCGCCACCAAATTTCGTACTTAATCTGTATTATGTAGTAATAAGCATTGTGTATAAGTTTCATAACATTTGGTTGAGGCAAACTAAAGTTAGAAAAGGAAACAAAAAATTTGTACTTAATCTTAGTTTTGTGGTAATGAATATTGTATATAGGTTTCATAATGTTTAGTTGGGGCAAACTTAAGTTACAGAATGGAAATTAAATATTTAGAAATCTTTCGATTTATAAAGGGGCATAACTCAATAATGGTTAAAGTGACACTACCCAAATTCAACTTGATCTGTGTTTTATCAGTGGAAGTCAAAATTAAACATTGCATGGTATAAAGCATTGATTGTAGTTGATTCAACTATAATCATGGACAAAAGGAAGATAACTCCAATTTTAATAAAATGCTCCGCCGGGGCGCAGCTTGATACGACCGCAGAGGTCGAACCCTGAACAGTTGGGGCAAGTATGGACACAACATTCAAGCTTGATACAGCACTGAATTTGGATTGTAATTAAATATTTGACACAGCATAGGTTTCTGACACAGAATTAAAGTGGTCTAAGAACTTAAAAATTTTCAATTTACCTATTCATACATGTGATGGACTGTGAAACTCAGATCAGGAGATTTGGAAATTTTGGTCAGGAGATTAGGACTCAGATCAGGAGGTTTTTAATCGACATTAATTTTGTTGTAAATGTAACCGTGTGCTGTAAAAATGGTCTTTTAAAGTGTGTTTTCTTCAACTTTCCAACCAATTTATTATGTTTATAGTACCCTTGTACTTATAAAGTTTCTCCATCTTTATATTCTACATGTTCAATCTAACATTGTTTTTTTCCAGTATGTTCTTTAAATTTTTTACTTCATATTCTATAAAACAATCATTGCAACCAGAACATTTGTTTAGCTGTCTGCAAATAGTTTTTAATTTATTTTTTTTCTCTTGCAAATAGTTTTTATTTGCAAACTCAGAAATTCATTCTATCTGTAAAGTTAGGGTCATAGTTATTATATAAATTTCAATTTAAGCCTTAAAAGGAAGTATAGAATCCTCAAATAATTTTCAAATTATTATTTTTTTATTTGTCCTAAGACATTTAAAATCATTTGATAACCATCCTTTTATGATTATTTGTTCAATTTATATTTTATTTATATTCTTTTAAAAATTTTCATTATTAAAAGGAAAGTAACTTAAAACAGGATAAATCAAGGGAAGTAACCCAATAAATACACAGTTTTTGTTACACAACGGCAGTTAGCCTGAGGTAAAAATCGTTGCTTACCAGTATGTTTGACACCCAAGCTGACAAGTGAAGCCATATAATTATGCATGTTAATTGATTTACAGGTAAAATATAACTTCAGGTAATGTCAGTTACACCAGATGCCTGAGATGTTATGTTGGGCAGAAATTTTTCATTCATGAAAAATTTCATACACGGGATTTTTTCAACGGGAGGGGGAGGAGACCCCTGAAAACGGGATTATTGTACTCCCGTCGGGAGGTTCACATGTATGCCTATTCAAACCATATCATTATTATTTGCTTTTATATATAAATCAGAAATAACCAATTTAAAATGGAAAATGTTAAAGAAAAAAAAGGAAAAAAAAAATCCCCCCCCCCCAATTTTTTGAACCCCCTTATGATTCATCGCCCCCAAACTCAATCCCAGCCTTTCCTTTGTGGTATGGTACCTTGCAGTACAATTTCAGAGAGATTCATACACTTGAACACAAGTTATTGTCTGGAAACTAGAAAAATGCTTGTTTTTTGGCCCCAAATTCCTAAACGTTTAGGGCAATTACCCCCAAACTCAATTCCAGCTTTCCCTTTGTGATATGGAACCTTGCTGTACAATTTCATAAAGATCCATACACTTACACACAAGTTATTGTCCTGAAACTAGAAAAATGCATGTTTTTTTTGCCCTTTTATGGCCCCTAATTACTAAAATTTTGAGGGAAAACCCCCAAAAATCAATCCCAGCCTTCCCTTTGTGATATGGAACCTTGTAGTACAATTTCATAAAGATCCATACTCTTACAAACAAGTTATTGTCATGAAACTAGAAAAATGCTTGTTTTTTGCCCCTTTTTGGCCCCTAATTCCTAATATTTGGAGGAAATTACCCCAAAAATCAATCCCAGTATTCCCTTTGTGATATGGAACCTTGTAGTACAATTTCATAAAGATCCATATACTTACAAACAAGTTATTGTCATGAAACTAGAAAAAAATGCTTGTTTTTTGCCCCTTTTTTGCCCCTAATTCCTAAAATTTGGAGACAATTACCCCCAAAATCAATCCCAGTATTCCCTTTGTGATATGGAACCTTGTGGTACAATGTCAGAGAGATCCATACACTTACACACAAGTTATGTCTGGAAGTTACAAAAATGCTTATTTTTGGCCCCTTTTGGCCCCTAATTCCTTAACTGTTAGTACCATAACCCCCAAAATCAATCCCCACCTTCTTTTTGTGGTATTGAACCTTATGGTAAAATTTCAATGAGATCCATTCACTTAAACTAAAGTTAGAGTGCGAAAACTAATGTGTATTCGGACGACGACGACGACGCCAACGTCATACCAATATACGACCACAAAAATTTTTTTGCGGTCGTATAAAAATCTAAATACATGGTTAGATTCAGCATATCAAAGAACCCCATATATTCAATTTTTGTTGAAATCAAACTAAGTTTAATTTTGGACCCTTTGGACCTTTATGTAGACCAATTTGAAAACAGAACCAAAAATTAAGAATCTAAATACACGGTTAGATTCGGCATATCAAAGAACCCCAATAATTCAATTTTTGATGAAATCAAACAAAGTAAAATTTTGGACCCTTTGGACCTCAATGTGGACCAATTTAAAAACGGGGCCCAAAATCCAAAAACTTAATACACGGTTAGATTCAGCATATTAAAGAACCCCAAGAATTCAAGAATAAAACCCCATTGAAATTGATCAAGAAATAAGCAATTTATACGAAGTATCTTCTTTTGCACAATACTGTGCAATTGATTATTTCTTGCTATTGCGCAATACTGTACAATTGACAATTTCTTGCTATTGCGCAATATTGTGCTATTGGATATTTCTTGCTATTGCGCAATACTGTGCAATTGAAGATTTCTTGCTATTGCGCAATACTGTGCAATTGAAGATTTCTTGCTATTGTGCAATACTGTGCAATTGAAAATTTCTTGCTATTGCACAATACTTATTATATAATAATTTACACATCCTGTTTGGTGTGTATCTCCTACCATATCATTATTATTTGCTTTTAAATATAAATCAGAAATAACCAACTTAAAATGGAAAATTTTAAAAGAAAAAAAAAAGGAAAAAAAGAAAAAAAAAAGAAAAAAAAAAATCCCCCCCCAAAATTTTTTGAACCCCCTTATGATTCATCACCCCCAAACTCAATCTCAGCCTTCCCTTTGTGGTATGGTACCTTGCAGTACAATTTCAGAGAGATCCATACACTTGAACACAAGTTATTGTCTGGAAACTAGAAAAATGCTTATTTTTGGCCCCTTTTTGGCCCCCAATTCCTAAACGTTTCGGGCAATTACCCCCAAACTCAATTCCAGCTTTCCCTTTGTGATATGGAACCTTGTAGTACAATTTCAGAAATATCCAAACACTTACACACAAGTTATTGTCATGAAACTAGAAAAATGCTTGTTTTTTGCCCCTTTTTTGGCCCCTAATTCCTAACATTTTGAGGCAATTACCCCCAAAATCAATTACAGCCTTCCCTTTGTGATATGGAACCTTGTGGTACAATGTCAGAGAGATCCATACACTTACACACAAGTTATTGTCTGGAAGTTACAAAAATGCTTATTGTTGGCCCCTTTTGGCCCCTAATTCCTTAACTGTTGGTACCATAACCCCCAAAATCAATCCCAACCTTCCTTTCATGGTATTGAACCTTATGGTAAAATTTCATGGAGATCCATTCACTTAAACTAAAGTTAGAGTGCGAAAACCAATGTGTCTTCGGACGACGCCAGACGACGACGACGACGACGACGACGACGACGACGACGACGACGACGCCAACGTCATACCAATATACGACCAAAAAATTTTCAATTTTTGCGGTCGTATAAAAATTACTTGATATTTAGAAGAAAATAAAAATTTTGCAGTTTTTCCATTTATAAAGGGGCATAACTCTAGAACGGTAAAAGTGACACCACAAAAATTCAAACTTGATCTGTGTTTTGTGGTAATAAGCATTGTGTATAAGTTTCATAACATTTGGTTGAGGCAAACTTAAGTTAGAGAATGGAAACTAAAAATTTTGCAATTTTTCCATTTATAAAGGAGCAAAACTCTAGAACGGTTAAAGTGACGCCACCAAAATTCAAACTTGATCTGTGTTTTATGGTAATAAGCATTGTGTATAAGTTTCATATCATTTGGTTGAGGCAAACTAAAGTTAGAGAATGGAAACTAAAAATTTTGCGATGTTTCCATATATAAAGGGGCATAACTCTAGAACGGTTAAAGTGATGCCACCAAAATTCAAACTTGATCTGTGTTTTGTGGTAATAAGCATTGTGTTTAAGTTTTATAACATTTGGTTGAGGCAAACTCAAGTTAGAGAACGGAAACCAATTTTGGGACGCACGGACGGACATACGTATGTACAGACAGACAAGGGTTAAACTTAATGCCCCCACCGCTACGGCGGGGGCATAAAAAAAGTAAAATCACGAACAAATGTTAAATATTCCGGATAACTTATATCCTTCATGAGTAAGATGTCAAATGATTCTTATCTTGACATGTGGTAGTCAAACTGTTTGATCACCCCATAAGATTTATCGTTGGCTATTATTCAGACATTTTATATATATATATATATAAAAGTCTAAAGATTTGCGCAACAGTACATGTACTAATATAACATGGTAATATACGAAAATGATGTTATAAAATCGTGTTGACAAATATTTCGGCTTGATATATATATATTGACTGTCCATATAAAAAATCTTGCAAAATACAATGTAAAATTCACAGAAAGGACATTGAAGTCCATTTCCATAATACACTACATAAATAAAGGACTTTCACTCAGTAAATACCTTATAGGTATATGGACCTGTTAGATTATATTGACACTCAGACTTCGTCAATAATCCCTAATTGATTATAAACATATAATGATAAATTGAAATCAGGTCTCATAGTCACCCTAACTATAAGATTTCAAAATATTTGGCTTTTATGTTTCAGATATGAAATTTGAATAAAAATGAATCTGTTTGAATGACATATTTTGACCTAAGTTGTCTTGTTTATAAAGATGCTTTGACACTAAAAATCTTACTATGAAAACATAAAAGATCAGTAGCTTCTAAGAACAGGAGAAAAATGATAAGTAAATAATGACAGATGTCAAAGAAAAGGCCACACTGGCTCTTTCATGAAAGAATTGGAGAAATATAACAGTTTGATTTGTGCCTTTTGCTGTCCGATTAATGTATATCCCAATTCTCTTTTTTATTCTAACTAAAAATGATAGCAATAAAACCATCATCCTTTTATAAGTACTTTATAACCTTTATATCACAATTTCTACCTTATCGATACATGACGGATCAAATCCCATATGTGCTGCCATTTGTACAGCTTGATTCCTGGACATTCCATTAAAAATATCTATAGGTTCTTTGATAATTGCATGTGGGTTTTCATTGGCAACTTCTTCTATATTCATTCCACCTTGAGAACTTCCTACCAGTACTGGTCCCTAAAATGAAAGAATGGATAAATGTAGATGTTGTTGAACATCATTATTAAAGAAATACAATAATCAGCCAAAAAATGTTACAAGAGGTAAAGAGTTATACTGTTTAAAATAGTGTGAAAGTTTAATACATTTCTGTTTCTCACAGATCAGAAATGTAGATAACAACCTACAACACTTCATGACAATTGTAAGTCAATCCAAACTATTAAAAAAAAGAACACACATAAACATTACAGGTAAATCAGTTATCTACCTGTACATGTTAATATTACAGGCCGGAGACATACAAACTCACCCAGGCCCAACAAATATAAAGTATCCATGTGGAATATGTAACAAAAATGTCAACTGGAATGCTAAAGCCCTTCAATGTGATGGCTGTGATATATGGTACCATACAAATGTACCACCACATATTTATAAAGCACTTCAAGGTAACAGCTTAAGCTGGATATGCTTGCAATGCATCCTACCTAACTTCTCGACAACATTCTTTGAGACTGAAGAACGCATTGAGTTAACAAACAGATTTAACACTTCCAATGTCAGCCTCGCTGACATACCGATAAACACCTCTGATCCACCATTTGCAAGCCAAGCTGCTTTGGCGACAAACTCCCCATATTCACCAATGGACAGCCATGCTGTCTTTCCGAGAAACCACAAAGAATCATCACGGGAGATAAATGCAGAAACATCAAGGAATAGCACTAGCTCATTGTTTAAACATCATTTGAACACTACAATAGATGAATCTGTCCAACTAAAACCAAAAGCAACATCTCCAAAAAACATGGATAACTCCAAATCTGCAGTACATTATAGTAGTGATAATAGTTACACGACCAGCCAGTCAGAAATGACAACAAAGTCTGACAAATTAACCATCTTAATGACCAACTTTTAAAGTATAACAAATAAAGGCACTGAACTGTCAAACATCATATCAAGTTCATCTCTGGAAATAATAATTGGTACAGAAACACATCTGGATTCAGCTTATAACAATGCTGAAATATTACCACATGACATACCAAGTAGTCACCAGTACAAAATATACAGAAAAGACAGGAAAGAACTCTTAGACAAAAATGATGGAGGAGTCCTGATAATGGCAAGACCAGACATTAGGTGATCGCTTGTCGCCTTATATTTTTATTCTCTGTGCTGAGATATTAGCACTAAAAATACGAAATAATGATAAAATAAATGGCATTACAGTTACTCAAGCTGAGAACAAACTTTCACAATTTGCTGATGACACATCTCTTATTTTAGATGTTAGAGAAGAATCTTTGAATGAAGCATTAAATGAATTAGATTGGTTTGGAAATATATCTGGTTTAAATATTAATTTTTCTAAAACACAAGTTATTTGGATAGGAAATAAAAAGTATAGTAATGAGGTATTATGCCAAAATAGAAACCTTACATGGGGAGAAACATGTTTTAAGTTATTAGGTATAAGCTTTGATGTTAATCTTGATAGAATTGTAAAAATTAATTATGATGAAAAAATTGTACAAATAAAATGTGTAATTAAACAATGGTCACAACGAAATATTGCTGTTATTGGTAGAATTACTGTTGTAAAGACATTGATATTGCCTATTTTAAATCATTTGTTTATATCCTTACCAAATCCAAGTGATGATATTTTAAAAAATGTTATTGAACTTATGTACAATTTTATATGGAGTTCACCAATTGATAGAATAAAGAGAGATGTTTTACAAAATGATATTGAAGATGGTGGACTCAAAATGATAAATCTTAGTGCATTTATTTTAGCACTGAAGTGTACATGGATAAGGAGATTATTTAAAACAGAAAACAAATGGCAGAATGTTTTTTTGTCAAATGTTCATGTAGAACTTGAAAAATTTTATGGTTGTGGAAGTGTTTATATACAAAAATTACAACAAAATATCAAAAATAAATTTTGGCAAGATGTTCTGAAAGCATGGCAACTTCTCAGAGAAAAAAATGAATATGACAGTTGGGAATGCTTTCTTGCTAGTCCAATCTGGCTTAACAATAATATAAAGGTAGCAAATAAACCTATTTTTATAAAGATTGGTTTGAAAATGGTATAAGATTTATAAATGATATTGTAAATGAAGATGGACCTTTTTTTCTCATCAAAAATTAGAAGAAATGTATCAGATAAATGTGAATTTCATGAGATGTAATAGTATTATATCTGCTATACATCAAGCATCAAAATCATTTGTGGGAAAAAATCACAAATTAGAAATACCTTTAATTCCATCTGCTATTAAAAGACTTGTTAAAAGTTCAAAAGGATCTAAAGATATGTATATTGTTTTAAACAAGAGGCTCTCAAGAGCCTGAATCGCTCACCTGTATTTCAGAGGAGAAATTTTTAAATGTTAGCAAACTCGATGAACAAATGTGTAAAATTGTCTTTAAAGGGCAATAACTCCTTAAGGGGGTCAATTGACAATTTTGGTCAGATTAACTTTTTTGTAGATCTTACTTTGCTGAACATTATTGCAGCTTACAGTTTATATCTATCTATAATAATATTCAAGATAATAACAAAAAACTGCAAAATTTTGTTAAAACTACCAATTTGGTGGCAGAAACCCAACAATGGGTTGTTCGATTCGTCTGATAATTACAGGGCCATTAGATCTTGACCAATTGAACAATTTTACCCCATGTCAGATTTGCTCTAAAAGCTTGAATTTTTAAGATATAAGCCAATAAACTGCTTCGCTAAGCACAGCTAGATTCGCCCGCAGAGGTCCAACCCTGAACAGTTGGGGCAAAAATGGACACAATATTCAAGCTTGATTTAGGTCTGAATTTGGGTTGTAATTAAAAAATTGACATATTATAGGTTTCTGAATAAATGTAGTCAAAGAACTTGAATTGGTTATATGAATTGAATTAATACTCAATTAAAGATTTCTTGCTGTTGTGCAATACTTAGTAAATCTGTTGTCAGACTATAAACAAATAAGGTTCAATTAATTCTCAATGTCATATTAGAAATTTATGAAAATAAACAGGGAGCTTACATCAATAGATATAAACAATTCACCAAAGTTTCTTGAGAATTGGTGACAGCATTTTTGAGTTATTGTCCAAAAACTGGAAAATCACCCATTTTTTAAATGAATAAACCCCAAAACTCAGAAATGTAAAATGTAAAATTTATAAAATTCTAAAGGGAGCTTACATCAATAAATACAAACAATTCACCAAAGTTTCATAAGAATTGCTGAAAGCATTTTTGAGTTTTTGTCCGAAAACTGGAAAATCCCCCCTTTTTTAATGAATAAAACCCTGTAACTCGGAAACATAAAATCTAAAATTTATAAAAATCAAAAGGGAGCTCATGTCAATAGATATAAACAATTCACCACAATTTCTTGCAAGTTGGTAAAAGCATTCTTGACTTATTGTCCGAAAACTGGAAAATCCCACTTTTTTTAATGAATAAAACCCCATAACTCGGAAACGTAAAATCTAAATTTTATAAAAAAACGAAAGGGAGCTCACGTCAATTGATATAAACAATTCACTTAAGTTTTATGCAAATTGGTTTAAGCATTTTTGAGTTAATGTCCGACATGTTGACGACGGACAGACGGACGGACAACGGTATACCATAATACGTCCCGTAAACGGGCGTATAAAAACAGTTTTTCCCATCTTGCTCTACTAGTCAAATTTTACTCCAGACCATAGTTAAAATTTCTGGACAAACTTTCACAAAGAATTACTGGTACAATTTGATAACATCCATTTAAACGAACCATCAATTTAAATATCTTACAGCAAAAGAACGTTCCATAGCAATAGCAAAGTAGAATTCTCTCCTGGAGTACAGTCTCTCAGACAACATCACTGTATTACAAGGTCTGCCCAGTGGTGCTTGTTTTGTAATGAGATCATAACCTAACATTTGCTCAGCAGTCTTCTTTGCTTCTTCTGGCCTATATTAAATGAGACATTTTTTATTTACTAATGTTTCTCATACACAAAAAAATTAAAGAAGAATGTGTCTGAGGACACAAATGCCACTGATCTAGTTTGCTTATAATACTCGAAAATACTTTTTGAGAGCATTTGATGTCACTGCAAGTTTTTAAAGAGTTCTATTGTTCTAGTCTTAGGTATTTTTGTGCTGTGTGTTATTTTAATATTTTCACTGTTTTGTTTTAATTTCTTATGTGATAAGTTTTCTGATAAGTTCTGTTTTCACCAGTGAATTTCTCCATTCTTGAATAATGCTTTGGTTCTTTTACTAATCTAATCTCTTTGTTAGCTTTATTTTTTATTCCAGAACAGTGACTCACTGCCTAAATTTGTACTCTTTCTGGGAGTTGTGGTTCTTAGCATTGTGTATGAGTTTCATAAAATTTGCATTAGGCAAACTTAAGTTAGAGTGCAGAAACAAATAAACTTGCAATTTTCCAAGTTATAAAGGGGAATAACTCTGGAACAGTAGTGACTCACTGCCCAAATTCAAACTCTGTCTGCATACATTCCAGATTGAAACATGATTGTCATAATATTATATTGTTGCTAAATTGTTTTTTTTATCTTAAAACTATTAGTAATTTTTCAAAATTAAAAGAGCAACCACTTGTCCTTTACTGTTTTGATATGTCAATGTGCATTGTTGTTTGAAAGTTTTTGATGGTTTTTAATCCAAAGTTGTTTCATTTTGGAACATTGGAGTGCCTTGTTTCTTAAATTTTGTTGATTTTGAGCCACACCTTTAACATTTCTGGAAATATGTAATTTAAGATTGGAAGATGAACGGAAAAAAAACTGATATCATTTTCTTTCGTAACTATTTTCATAGCAACCTAATCTGAAAAATCATAAGTGAGAATAAGAACCTATACAGATCATACTATCACAAGAGTAGGAAATGTATGAAATATACTCACTCAATAATGAGGTAAATAATCCAGTGAAGTTTAACTCACACTGTGAGTAAAACAAATAAGGAATGCAACACAATTTTCAGTTGTTTGTCTGTTCTATATGAGAATTACTGCTTGAAGAGCAGCAAAAACCTCATGAAATCAATACCAGAGATAATATTCGATAGAACTCAGTAATTTTTGCATTTTTTTCTTTTAGTATTGTACTTCATTCCATGTTCATTTTCAAAGCATATGAGTGAAAATTTACTACTGAATTCTAACCTCATTTTGTACCATATTTTGAACATGTCAAAAAAAATTCAGACACCTGTGATGCTATCTGTCTACAGCTATAAAAATCAGGTCTTTTCATTCAGTATCATAGAATGTTTTTGTGATTTAATCTAATGATAAACCAGGATAAACTATTTCTCATCCTGAGCACTTGTCACAGAAATCAAACATTTGTTTCTAAACTTCAGTGCAATTTAGAGCTTGACATATTACATTGACAACTGTCTACTGTTGACCTCTTTCATTCTTTGGGGAGTTTTCTTGCTGTTGGTCTCAGTTACAGGTATCCTTATCTCCTTTTATTTATTCACAGCATAAATATTTAATGCCTCTGAATCATTTGTATACATCTAATTCACATCAACTCATCACAAAGAACATTTCTATTAGTTTTGACTATACTGATAACATGAAAAAAAGTATCTAAATAAACCTTACGTATAACAGATTTTGACTCCTCCTTTCAGACCACTTGTAAATGAACCCTTCCCTCTTCCACCAGAAAGTACCTGAGCCTTTACCACCACATCTGTTGAACCTGTTTCTGAAGCTATAAAAATATTAAAACAAAGTCAATTCAGTACAAAAAAGACACCCACATTTTTACACTTATGACCACAAAATTCTGTTTTAAACATAAAATTAATATTATTCAATAAAGCTCAATTTCATTACAAGCAAGTGAATAGTGATTTTTAAGATATTCAAATGGTAAACAAGTTGACTTTCCAAGCATCTACATAACAAATTGTATAGAATTATGGCCATTATTTTCTGAGAACAGCCTGCAGATGTGGACATGGCTATTGAGAATATGTCAATAGTCCCTCTGAATTTTGTTGAGGCAAACTAAACAGTCTGATATACCCAATTCTGCTGATGACTTTTGCACCTCTTCTGTTGTTTCACAGACTCTGTATCTTGGTATTGGTATTCCAGCCTTCTCCAATAAACCAAAACTCAGGTATTCATGAATGGATAAATTTCTCTGTTGAGACTGCTGAGGGGGGATAGAACCAGCAAGAATCTGTAAAACAATAAATAAATAATTAACAGCATTCGGTAGACAAGCCATATCTTCAGAGAAAAATAAGTCAAATAAAAATTCAAAAAAAATAGGTGGACAATGGTACTTTTTGGCAAAGATTCTGAGATTTGTGTTCAGTCAAATTCTGATTAGGTGATCAGGAGAAGCAGGTACAAATGGTGTGGTGTAGAGTGTACATATGACAAAGTCCATTTCATGCCAAAGTAGGTCCCAAAAATCATTAGGATGTAGAAATGAAATAGGACTTGCAAAAGAACATGATATGAGCACATGGTGAGTAACATTCTGTGAAAGTTTTGAACACAAAATACAGGAGGTAAAGTTTGGTAACATCTTGCCTAGTAGTTTATTTCAGAGGAGAGGTTTAAGACAAGGAATGGACAACATGTGATGACAAAAGCTCACATAGCATTTAAGGCCAGGTGAGCTAAAAGAGCTATAATTGTAATTCATATGCAATTACTCCTGCAAGGAGTCAACTGACAAATTCAATCTTGTGTTGTGAATTGCAATGTGACTGAAATTTTGTATCAATTAAAACTACTCTTGACCCTGAATCCCGGTAGTGGGTCCATTTGCACCTTATTTTTCATGTTTTTATTCAAATACAGGTTGAATTACCATATAGCGGGTTATTTTTGCAGGTTGAAAATTTCGCGATTTAGGGGCTAAAAAGTATACGAAAAATTTTGGACGTTTTTATTTTGGTGGATTCTTAAATCCCAATTAAATATTTTGGCAGATACTGAAATTTTTGCAGATAAAAAGTTGTTAAAATTGAGAAGCAAGTGTCTATTGTTATTGTTAATTTATTTTTTTTTACCTGAATGACGTCTTATTTATTGATTATATTCTGATACAGTTAATCAATAGAATACCGGTAACTTAGATATTTGTCACAGGTATACACACTTCTTATAAATTTTACTGTTGATAAGTTAAGAAATTGACCGGACCAAATTAATAAGGGTAATTACCTGATAGAGTACCTTACACTCTTAACCTATTTGACACTAATTGATAAGGGTATACACACCTGACAGTCATTTTATAAAATACATACATGTATGTACAATGCCCCTTGAAATTTATGTTGTTAGAACTAACCTATACTGTTAACAGTGATATTGTTGTCTTTTTTCAAAACTACCTGTACCGTTTTTTACTGGGAAAAATGCATATTTTTTATTGAAATTGGGAAATTTGTATATTTTATTCTAAACACATCTCCGATTTTTTGCTGACCTTTGCTGTCTTTTTTGCAATGTTTTTTCATGTATATTTTGGTTGTCAGACATTTTCAACCTGAAAGGTACTTTTTGGAGAGGGGAAAGAAACAGAAGCAATGATGGTACTTAATGCATTGAAAACCACATGTGTTACAAACACCATGATGATTCTGATCAGAAAACCGGATCTTAAAAGTGCTTTCTAATATCAAAATACATGAATACGATATTTACAAACATTACTACCAATGCCATCACTGTTTGGGGAAAATGTAAAACATTTTGGGAGGAATTTTAAGCCATTTTTTTTAGTAATTGGGAATTTTATCTAGGGGAAAAAGCCGAATTTCGGCTGTAATTTGAGGCAAACAATATCACTGGTTAATGACCTGCCGACCCGAAAAAAAAATAGATCGTTTACAAAACTCTTTAACTATTAGAAAGTATCAAATGTATGCATAAATTTTTGGCGGAATATATTTCACGATTTTCATTATCCGCTGAAATTAGTGAAAATAAACACCCCTCGAAAATAAATGTTAATTACATGTATTTATGATTACTGATAATTGGTATTTACGAAGCTAATTTGGTATTATTGTTATGCGTTTGAAAATCATGATTGTTGTTATAACTAGCTTTTGTGTAGAAATCTAAATATTTTGGTGCTCTTTTTGATTTGGAATAGGGCATTATTTGAATGATTGTGTGAGCTTCAAGTTTATTATTGTTATGTTTATAATTGCCTCAAGTTTTTTTGCACATGGAAATAATTGCTCCATATGAACTGATAGCTGTATTACAACACCAAATAAGCAAAAAAATTATGTATGTTGGTATCTTCAATCTTTTTTACCATCGTGGAAATAAATGCTCTGCAGCAACTTATATAGCTAAAATGCAATACCATCAGAACACCTAATAAACATACATGTGCATTTTGGACATGTTTTTGTGTTATTCATTGTTGTCTCGGTAATCTCATTGTTACAAATTTGATTGTCGTTTGATATCTTCCTCCTTTCATTTACAAGTCTTGGATGAATGAACTTGGCCTTTGATCATCAAGACAATATTCATTATTCATTTTGTCAAAATAATTCACAATACACTAAAGGGAACCTGTTTACCTTTTTACACTAACTTATATACAACCCACCACCATGGATAATCCCCAGCCCAACACCAAGGGAGTGTTGGAGGAAGCTAAAGTACTCGGAGAGAACCACTGGTCTCCTCAGAAAAAATAGACAAACCAAAGACATATCTTAAGATTGATCTCCAGGTCAAAGCTGGGGGCCACTTTGACCAATCAAGGCACCTAAAGTACCCATTCTAGTTAAAACTACTGTCTGGGTACCAGAGATGTGTGAGGGAGAAAGAAAATCACTTTTCTAATGTACTGAAATTTCCAGTGTTCCTATTTAGGATTGAACCAGGGACCTATACTATAGCAACGATCTTAACCACTGAGCCTTGAACCAACAATACAAAAATAAAACACAATTAAAAAATTATTCATAAAAAAACCTTTTTAAAATAAAAGGATGCAAATGAACTCATGGTGCGAACGTGAAAGGCAGACATGGACCCGGATTCCTGAACCCCAAAAGGGAGTATACCACTACTAACAGGATAATTTCGACATAAACAAAAGATTGCTTCTTTCTAATAATACACAGAATCTTTCAAAGTTCCAATATCATGAATGAGAGGATGCAAGAATTAAGGTGTTACAAGTTCATGAATTTTGTCAAGGACAGACCTGAGTCAGTGAGTGACATTTGTCGACTAGTTCAGCTAGCTGTCCGACCTATTTCACCAGAATGTTATATATAGTCTTATTGCTAGGAAAATGGACAAAAGACATGTTAATTTGTATATACCCTCAAAGAGTTGCCTGTATTTAATTTTTGTGCAAGGCGACCTGTCGTCCGCAAAATAACAGACGCCATTTTTTTCAAACGAAAAGTAACGTACCGGAGAAGAAACGATTTTCCGGTTTTCCCCTTCTTTAGTGAGTGTGCATGAAATTGGTTTAGATATAAGAAAATCAAAGTGTAGGTTGTAAATAGATGCTTACAACTTGCTGATTCTAAAATCGAATTGTGGAGGTCCTGAAATAATTGTGGAGCCGAGGTCAGGAAATAATTGTGAACCTCCATAAATATTAAAGGATATCCTAAAATTGAAGATCATTGAATAGTCACGGGAGGTCCTGAAATAATTGTGAAATAATGAATAAAAAAAAGAATATCCTGAAATATATAAGGACCTCCTGAAATAATGAAATTTTGAACTATTATTTGTGGAGGTCAGGCCAGAAATTACTCAGGATATCATAAAATCGAATTATGGAGGTCCTGAAATATTTCCTGAGGAGCTGCTTTGGCTAAATCATGTCATCAGGGCTTGCTATGAACACTTATATAATATCTATCATTAACAAGACCTGCCGTCTGACTTTCCTGACTTTTTTCTGGTCTTCAAAGTCAAGATCCAAACAATATATTAATAAAAACTGTGTAACAAAGGAATTAAGTATTGAAAATTAACTTGAAAACAATTAAAACATTGAAAAGATTCAAACTGAAATATTTACTAGATAAAAATCCTAGACAATAAAAGATCTGTTAATGTTGAAATATTTACTAGATAAAATCCTAGACAATAAATGATCTGTTAATGTAGGAATTTGGATACTCAGCTCACTCTTACTACGGTGACTTCTGGTGTTCTGCTATAGAGATGTTCTGTCGTAATGGGTCATTTTACATTGTAAAAGAATGATTTTTAAAGGTGAATAAGATCATCGTTTTATTTGGGGACTTGTTACTCATTCTGTAGTTTTCTTTGTGAGTTTATGCACTGTTGTCTGTCTTTTCCTCTTTTGTTCTTGGACATGGGTTTGTTTTTCCTTCCTTTGAATAAAGGTGTTTGATTAACCTCTCCTTATTTTCTTACTTTCAGTTTTATACTCATCTGGGAATATAATTTAAAAACATGTGTACTGCATGCAGGCGAGGTTCATCCTTCTCCAATTCTGCATGCATAAATACAGTTTTACGGAAAACAAAGGACAGTGCGCAAGTCTATGGACAGTAAGTTAAAACGGTAAGTCATGGGCATTAGACAGTACCTTTTCTTGTGGTCAATAATTTAAAACGCACTAATAAAATTGAGAATGGAAACCTGGAATGTGTCAAAGAGACAACGACCCGACCAAAGAGCAGAAAGCAGCCCAAGGCCACCAAATTGAATGGGTCTTCAACACAGCGAGAAAATCCCGCACCCGTAGGCGGGCTTCAGCTAGCCCCTAAACGAAAATGTGTACTAGTTCAGCGAAAATGGACGTCACACTAAACTCCGAAACATATAAATGAACCAAAATTAAAAAAAACATACAAGACTAACAAAGGCCAGAGGCTCCTGACTTGGGACAGGCGCAAAAATGCGGCGGGGTTAAACATGTTTTGTGAGATCTCAATCCCCCATACCTCTAGCCAATGAAGAATAAACAAACACACAGAAATACGCACAGTAAAACTCAGTTTAAAAGAAGTGCGAGTCCGATGTCAGAATAGGTAACAGAAGAAACTAAGCAAAATGACAATGATACATGAATTAACAAAAGACTACTAGCAGTTACTGACATGCCAGCTCCAGACCTCAACTAAACTGATTGAAAGATTATGTCTTCATCATATGAAAATTAAGCACAATCTATGGAACGCCACAGCTGTCTTATGTGGAACTCTGATATTACTTTATGTTGTTTTATTATTACTTGATGATATTTTGTCTTTACTTAATATGGTTTTGACATTACGTAATGATGTTTTGATATAACTCAATATGGAATAGTCATTACTTAATGATATTTCGATATTGCACGATATGGTTTCGTATTGACTTGATATAGTTTTGTCATTACTCAATATGGTTTTGTCATTACTCAATATGGTGTTGTCATTACTCGATGTGGTTTCGCCATTATTTAATGTGGCTGTGTCATTAGTCAATGTGGTTTTAACATTACTTGATGTGAATGTGCCTTAACGTTATGTAGTTGTTTCATTACATGATGTGGTTTTGTTATTTTGTAATGATGATTTGCCTATTCTTTATTTGGTTTTAACATTACGTAATGATGTTTCAAATTTGACGATTTTACACTACATGATGTGTTTGTTTCATTATTTGATGTGGTCCTGTCATTCTTTGATGTGGTTATCCCATTACTTGATGAGGTAAAATCACGTGACCAATTCGGAAAAACCTGTTCTATATTTAGATAGATTTCCATGTTGTATGTGCCTTGGATGAGTGTGGCCATCCATCGAATTAGAGTTCAAATTAAAGTTCGGGTTACTGTTTGAGTTAAACTTTGAGTTAGTCTTCGATTTCGAATTCAAGTCATTATTAGAATTAAAGTTTTAGTTAGCATTGAGTTTCGAGTTGGACTTTGAGTTTGAGTCATATTTAAAGGTAGAGTTCTAGTTACAACATTAAATTTGAGTCACTTTTTGAGGTAGAGTTTGAGTAAGATTCGAATTTAAGTCTCATTTAGATTAATTAAGATTTTGAGTTGAAATTCGAGCTATCTTATATGAGTTCGTAATTAAATTTTCTATCGCGGAACAAGGACTTTTGCTCTGTCTTCCGAAAAGAGGGCTCCGGGGTATGCGTACAAAAGATAAACAATGTTACAGTATACAAACGCAACATAGAAGTTGAAATAAAGTTAGATGTGGTGTGATTGACAATGAGACAACTATCCAACAGAGTTTAAATGCAGTGGATGTAAGAAATCATATATAGGCAACCGTACAGTCTTCAACACACCGTATAGTCAGCTACAAAAGGCCGCCATGCACCATGTGAAAAAATTCAAACGAAAAAACCAAACGGTCTTATTTATAAATAAACAATCTACAAAAAACAAATAAAACACATTTATACAACGACGACAATTGAACTTCATGCTCCTGACTTGGGGCAGGTACATAAACTCGGAAAGTGTACGTGGCGGAGTTTATGTATGTGAGCGCTAAATTCTTACCGTACATCAGACTGTTACAGTTGTGTAACAGAACAACACGAGAAAAATAAGTAAACTAGACAAAGTGATGCTCATTTAACCGCTTATACCCCAAAAATGACAAAAAAAGTTCAATTATCTCCCAAAAGAGCAAAAGATAATAAAAATAAAAATCCTGACCACATGCACACCTTCAATATATGTACACACAGACAGTAAAGAGAAAACTTCCTAGAATTCAAACTGTAGGAGGAGTTATGCGGAATAACTATATACCCATAATGGGACGGACAGACGGACGGACGGACAGGGGTAAAACAATATCCCCCCCCCCCTTGCAACGGTTGCATACAAAACAGTTTCATTTGGCTGTTTCAATAGATCGGTATGACTGGGTAATATAAATCCATCGGGGTGATCTCGGATGCTCCAGAAAGGCACCCGTCGTGTTATTCGAAAAAGTACAAACCCAGTGATTTGGTTTTATTTGATAGTTTACATTCAAGGAAAAGATGACGGTTTTATGGTTACGACCACTGGAACATGTCCGTCGTCACATATGAAACAGATATTCCAAAAAAATTATTTTTCAATTAGTGCGAGGTAGATCAGGGAATTCAATTGATTACAAATAAAAGATTGATATTCGTATAAGTTCAAATGATCATTTACGCTAAAAAAAAAATTCGGAGAATTCTTATTTTATAGTATTGATGCTTTGTCGCTTAGTCCGAGCCCCCCTCCCCCCGTTTCCCTGTAACTTTAGTGTGAGTTGATTTGAAGTGTTTCATTTGTTAACAATAAAGTTCAAGTCTTTTGATTTGTGTCGATCCTGCGACATCAATGTAGCGGCAGTGAGACACAACAAACCTATATTTCGTCGTCGATAGTGGCGTCGGCGTCTCCATCTCCACTTTTTTATTTCTATTGAGTTTAACCTTTCATTATACATGTTACTAAACATGTATGCCATGTATATTACTTTTAGGATATCATACTGCATTTGTTTACCTCGACTATTGTATCTGTATTTATATTGTATGTTTCTCTGTAAACTTGTATTTAGTTTTTAGAGAATAAAGTATCTATCTATCTATCTATCTCTAGATCGTTAGGTTTCTAGTTTTTTACAATTTTCATTTCGGGACCTTTTATAGCTTACTATAGGGTATGGGTTTTGCTCATTGTTGAAAACCATACAGTTTTGTTTTAGTTAAATAAAACCGAATTAAACTGTTTTGACATGATAAATTTGTAAACCTCCATGAAGTGTTTTGAAACTTGTATAGGAGTTATTCCTCAATTTCAAGAAAAAGCATCTACAGAAAAACATTTTTTTTTAAATTTTTTTTTTTACCGATAAATGTATAGATAAATGTACAGCCGATCAACATGACGCTTTTACACTTACAGCAGCAATATCAGGCGAGACACAGGGTTCCATGGAATATTTTACAAATTTATTACAAAAATACTGCTTCCGTTTGAGAACTTACTAGGATAAAAACTACAGGACCAAGTGGTTTGGGGATATCCCAATTATGTCCGAAATACTGTAAACCTTTTAATACTTTCTTTTCTTATTATTGTCTGCCGTTCCCCTTTTTCATGCCAAATAACTCTGAACAACCACTGGAACTTTAATTTGAACTTTAACTCAATGGATAGCGATACACATCCAAAGCACATTAAACAAACGATATATTGAAATCTGTTTAAAAATAGAACATATTTTTTTCCGAATTGGTCACGTGGTTTTACCTCATCAAGTAATGGGATAACCACATCAAAGAATGACAGGACCACATCAAATAATGAAACAAACACATCATGTAGTGTAAAATCGTCAAATTTTGAAACATCATTGCGTAATGTTAAAACCATATAAAGAATAGGCAAATCATCATTACAAAATAACAAAACCACATCAT